CTTCTGAAATGAGTTCACAGAAATTCTAGACATAAAGTTGAAACTCTCAACAGCACATCACATACAGACAGATGAGCAGACAGAGACAACAAATCAGTATATTGTCATGCACCTTCATTCATATGTTAATTACTATCAAAATGACTGAAATGAGTAATTACTCATTATAGATTATGCTTCTGCAGTCATATCAAACATCTTCACTGAGATCTTCTTCTTTCTAGCTGCAAATGAATATGAGTCACAAACATCATTTGACTGAAGGTCTCTGTCAAGAGAACTAAGAGCAGAGAAGAGAACAAATTGAAGAACTGCTCAAAACTTTATTAAACAGATGAAAGAGATCTGAGAGTGAGCAGACAAGAGCATGAAGATAGCACAGAAACAGATGAAGAGGCAGACTAACAGACATCACTAAAAATCTGACTTCACAGTAAGAGATTTTGTCTACTTGATATTGAAATCATACAGAATTGACTGATCAAGCTGTAAGCTGATAGCACAGAACACAGACCTCTTCAAAATTCTAGAGAGGGTGGACAATGTCTATAGACTGAACCTCCTCACAATTATGAAAATTCATTCAATCTTCTTCTCAGACAAGCTGTGCAAAGATTCAAGAGACTCTTTATCAGAGCAGACTGTCAAATCACCAGATTCAATTGAGATAGATGGAGAAAATGAATGGAAAGTGAAGTATATATTAGTCAGTTGAATAAATCAAGACAAACTGCAATATCAAATTCACTGAAAGAAATTTGATGAGGACTCATCTTGATACCCAGCTCATGACTTCAAAGAATCACCACACATCATATGTGACTTTCATGAAGCTAACTCTACAAAAGCCAGACTTTCAAGATGACTAAATGAGTGGCTAAAGGCATGGGAGACAGACAGCTACTTGAAGAATGAGGTTGATGATGACCTACCAGCATGAGGACATGCTTGTCCCTAGACCAGAGGGTGATGTTAGGCTCAGTGCCTGACTGAGCCTGACCAAGGCCCAGTGCCTGGTTAGACTCCGATGTCAGATTAAGCTCAGCACTCAATTAGGTTAAATATTCTCACATGATCAAACAATCATGCAGGTGGTTATAATCTGAGCAGGTCCCAGCACCTCTTTCACCCCATCAAGCTTAGTATTTCATTATATAGCAGTTAGCAATGCAGAGAGTTTTCTTCTTATGCAGCTCACATTCACTCCCTAACAGAAGATCTATAAGTTAAAACTAGACAAACTATGTAATATTTCAGAGTATTTCAATACAGATCAGCTGGATGTCTTGGCTTAAAATATCATAGATGTGCTAGTAGCTTCTCTGAAAAGCTTTATCAAGAAGAGCACTGGGCAAGACATAGACCAGTCATGATGAAATGAGAACTGTCAGAAAGCAATGACAACACTACATTGAGCACAGTGCCTAGGCTCTAAATTTTTACATAAAGCAAAAGACAACATAGTCAGGATTATCAGAAAAGTTAAGAGAGAATACTGATGAGACAAAATAGCAGAGGCCTCAGCAGAGAAAGATATCTTTAAGATGATCAAATGAGCTTATTCAACTGACTTCTTTCATTCTCACCCTCTTATAGATGAAGAGACTGAGCTAGTGTGAACAACTTCTAGAGAGAAAAGAGATCTTTTGCAACAGATGCTCTTACAGAAGGCTGCAAGCAGAGAGAATATCTTAGTTAGCTGATTCAATTCATCATCTGTCAAATTATCATTTTCTGTTGTCTCAGCATATGAGATACAAAACTCTCTGCTGAACATAGATAATATCACTTCAGAAATTGATGAAGTGCCAACAGAGATGCTATGAAAGACATGACCACATATTAAGATATTGATAAAAAGACTGTTCAGAGTCTGTCTTAGAGTTGACTAACACTCAATCTTCTTTCAAGAAGTCATAGTGATTGTGCTGTTTAAGATCAACAAAGATTCAACACTTCTGCAATTCTACAGACTTATAGCCCTTCTCTCAATGTTGAGAAAGGGACTAGAACATCTGATAGTCTATAGACTGATCTAGATAGCTATAGAGAAGATTGTCCACCTTCAGCACTTTGAAGCCCTCACTGAGCAGACTGCCTCAGACCTAGTGACAGTGATGATTCATGATATAGAGAAAGTCTAGACTCATAGAAAAGTAGTCTCTCTTCTTACTCTGAATATCAAGAATGATTTTGATGCTGTACTTAGAGAAAAAATGCTGCAGAGACTGCAAGAACAAAGCTGATCATCAAATTTAATTAAATGAGTGAAAAGCTTCATGACAAAATACACAGATAGAATCAGAATGAATAAACTTCTGAAAGAGGTTTTTGATATTTCAGCAAGACTTTTACAAGACTTATCAGTCTCATCTATTCTATTCATACTATTTATTCAACCTCTGTTCTTTCTACAAAATATACAAAGAAGATGTGCATGCTCAGACTATGCAAATAATCTAGAACTGCTTAGTGCTGAAACCACTCTTGAAGAGAATGTTGTTACTCTTCAGAAGAATTTCAAATTGTTAAATAATTGAGCTAGCAAAGAAGAGCTAACATTTAATTTTATCAAAATTAAGATAGCATACTTCACACAGCACAGAATTCTTTCAAATCTCTTAATTGATCTTGAAATAACATTCAGCCTTCACTTTATTACAGTAAATGCAGTGAAAAACTCTATAAGATATCTAGAAATCTGACTAGATAGAAAACTGAGCTTCAAGAAACACATGAAGACCATGATAGCTAAGACATGATAGATGTTTAATGACATACAGACACTAAGCAACACAGCAAGAGGCATCTCAGTACAACTATTTAGACAATTCATTCAGATCTGTATGCTCTCTGTGCTCTGCTATGAAGCATAGACCTGATGACCTGAAGTCATATAAATGAAGAAGAGAAAAAAAATCTTCAATTGAATGAATTGTCTAGTCAGAAAGCTAGATCTAGCTCTTAAAGATACTTTGCAAGAGGCACTGATAGTCTACAAAATCATATTCATTTCAGCTCTACACTGCAAGTTAGAAATCATGTCAATGAAAGAGATACTAGACAACTGACATGTCATATTTGCAGTAAGAATCAAAAAGCTAGACAAGAGACATCTATTAGTGAGATGCTCTAATAAAGTAGCTATCACTCAGCTCTATATCACATATCTATCTAGAGTGTTCAGTCATGCTGATGTGATAGAAGCACATGACTCTCCACTCACATTCTCTTGAATGAGATTTCTCAGAAAAAAAGATCTGCAAATTGAGTATAAAACAGACTACATAAAGAAACAGACAGCACAAGACTTTAAGAGCTGACTACAACAACACAATTCTCTGAATCTGATGATCTTTACTGATGATTCACAGATTGTGTGTTCTCAGTGTGTGACTGATGCAAAATGAGCTATATGCTGAGATAGTGAACATCATTTAGTCTTCACAGAAAACCTGCTAATGAATAAAGCAGAGGTCTTTGATGTGAAGGCAATGACAGCTCTACAGAGTCTAAAGAAAGTCATCATCTCTTCTCAGATGAAGTTCACCAGCAATGTTTACATTTGCCTAGACAATTTGAAGATAGTATAAGTTCTTGAATCTGTGTCAAACACCTCTAGCCAGCTGATCTTTATGTAGTTTCTGAAAGTCATAAAGACCTGGCAGAGCAGAGATAGGCTCTCATTGACCACTCAGAGCAGAGTGGTCATTAGATGAGTCTCAGACCATGCAGATGTGATCAGTAATGAAAAAACAGATTTTGAAGTCAAAGCAGTCACAATACAGACAGCAAGTACAAGCACAGTACCTCAATTCAACAGCATAGACACTCTAGCTTATATAAAGCAGCACACTATAGAACAAATCATAAAGATCTTTGAGAATTACTGAATCAAAAACCTGCTCAAATGCTATATGAAGCTGGAGATTCCACTGAAGAGAGTCTCAACAGAGGTAAAACTTTCACACTTCACATTAGAAAAGCTCTATACTGTCTGATCAGATCATGGAGACTTTGCAGTCTACCACAGCCATCTTAAGCATGAAGATGCAGAGTGCTACTGCTGATGCAGACATAGCAAAACCTCAGAACATTTCTACTATTGCACTCTTGCAAGAAAAGCAGCAAAGTGACACTGGCCTATCTACAATCTTTGTGAGATACTGACAATCTTGTGTGAGACTCTAGAATTTGATAGCTGACTAAGAGAAACAGTCTTCTATCAGAATATCTGTTCAATGCACTTATGTGCACCTTCAGATCAGACCTTATAGATCATTTTCTCTTCTGTCTTGCTTCTGTCTTCTTCATCATCTTTCTCTTCTTTCTCTCTTTTCTTCTCTTTCTTTTCTTTCTTGTCTTTCTTTCTATCTACCTTTTTTACCTCCCTCCCACAAACTTAAAACCTCTCAAAACCTCTGCCCTATGGCAACTGACCCATGGGCTCTGCTGGCGTAGCAATACACAACCCATTTTGCCTCATTTGTAAGTTAGCTACTAGATAGATAGTCGCCTACAGACGCAGCTCTACCCACCCTATAGTTTGACACGGACTCTACTAGATCACGTGCCCATAAGGCACGTGGACTAACCGGGTGTTAAATAAAAACACACACACACACACACACACACACACACACTCAACTAGGGCCCAACAGCCCAACATGTTCCTCATGCCAGTAGATCATTGTTGTCCTCATCCCTTAGATAATTGCTTGTCTTCCATGCCTTTAACCATTCATCCAGTTGCTTTGATGGTCCAACTTTTATAGAATTTCCTCATGGAAATCATGTTTTCTGTATGATGATCTCTTGAAGTTGTGAGCTAGGTATCATGATGAATTCTCATTGAATCCCTTTCAGTGGACTTGATATTGCAGTTTGCCTCAATTCATTTGACTTGCTAATATATGCTCTACCTCTCATTCATTTTCTCTATCTATCTCAATTGGGTCTGGTGGTTTGACAGTTTGCCTGGGTAGAGGGTCTTTGAGTCCTTATGCAGTTTGTCCAGGGGAGAAGATTGGATGAATCTTCATGATTATGGGGAGGTCCAGTCTATAGGCATTGCTCACTTTCTCTAGGATCCTGAAGGGGTCTGTGTTCTGTGCTGCCATCTTATGGCTTGGTGAAAGACGGGTGAGAGGGTGAGACATCAGCGCGCGGCTGATATCTAGCGCCAATATGGCGGACTGTATCATTGGTTCAACGTGCTGCAGTTGCATGCGGCTTCCACCTGAAAATTTGCTTTTCATCTCAAAAATTTGCCTTTTTTTGATAGTTCTCCTTTTGAGGAATAGCTTTCCTATTACGCCTGTTGTTGCCCTTTCGGGCTAGTTTGTATATAGAATGAGCGGTATCAGCATAAGGACATCAGTCATCTCCAACATCTATAAAAAGAGGGGTGAAATCCTCCATTCACTGATAGAAGAGCTCAATAGAATTAATGATCACTATTCTGCCCCACAGAGAATTACCTATTTTGGCTTCACCGCCTTCCTATTCCGTACATCATCTCCCTATCTAGTTCGTATAGGACCTCCCCGTATATCAGCTATCTCATACATTTGACAATTTGACACACACTAATCCTCTGCATTATTAAGAATAATAAGGAGCCAATCACTTTATAAGTGAGATATAGTAGGAAAGATCAACATCTACTCATTCAGCTTCTCATCAAATAACCCACGCGATGGTAACTATTGTTGACTCCTCATTCTCAGCATCATCTTCTTATAGTATCAGATTTTCTATTAATTAAACAAAATTATTAGTTTTCTTTTATTTCATTTTCATTTTTTTTAACATCAGATGGGGGATGGACTTACCGCGTAAACCCAGCATTTGTGTGGCTCATATACACCAATATTACAGAAGATATAATCTAAGTTGTGATCCTGTATTTCATGAAAATGTCAAATTAGATATTTTCATTCTTATCATTGTAAACTTTCAATCAAGCACAGTGAAGAGAAAATAAAATATTACTTACAAGAGCCTTGTACCAGCAGTCATATGTTTGCCGACATTCATCACTATCCAGGCACTAAAGATACTATGTTAGCTATAGTTTCAAAGGGTATATGATGAAGAAGTGAGGCAATGGTAATAATGTACCCACAAAGAATATGCGCATTTTTCCCACATTCCAGGAGGCAATGCAAAGATCATCACAGGAGCTAGCCAGAAGAATGCAGACACTAGAAGTGGAAGTTTCATTTTTGTGTGAAGCGGCCTATGTAGCTTTATTAAGTGAGAATGGCAATTAAGTGAATAATCACTGTTCTTCAACTCTGCTCCACTAGTTTATAATATGTGTTGCAGATTTCACGCAGCTTTTATAGTCATTGATTATGCACTTCACATCCATGCTTACTATATGCTCACGTCTGGTAAAACTATTATGAGATCCAATATTCTAACATGAGCTTGACTAACAATTGCCGAGCTCAAAGGAAATGGAGGCAAATTCATAAAACATTACCTAGTTTATAACATTTTGGTAGATAACGAGGGATAATCCCTCATAGTTCTGGCTAAATAAGCTGTCGGTCAAAAGACCGAGATTTATAAGCAACTCTCCTGCCACAGAAGTCGGGTGAAGGGTTCGGGTTTGAAAACACCAGAAGAATAAGCCGAGAGAGCAAAGTGGGCAATATACAGCCGGCATTGCCGTACATAACGTGTCGAGACAAACATAATGACAAGCTTGATTGACTGCAACAAGGTTGCTAACTGCAAGAACCACTAACTAATGATGGAGAGAAGGTCACATGATAGAGGGGTTCGACACCCCCCACTCATCATCAGAAGTAGATTTTTGCAGCTTTTTTAGAAATACAAAAGCCTCTTCTCACACTCCCATGTTCTTGTATGTTTCTCTACTGCTAATTTGCATACAAAACTCAATTGGCAATGTGTTTTAAACACTAGTTCTAAAACTCATAAAATTGAGACAAAAATTGTTATGGCCCAGCTGCTTTGTAATATGGGTTAAGCTCCGCTCCGAAGGTTGATCCGCTCCGATCCACAATTCATTCCACATTCTAAATCCTCAGTTTAACAGGCTGCCCAGTTAGATAGATAAGTAGAAGCTTTTATCTTGACTCTAGCTGTATATATAGCAACAGGAATGGATGAGACTGAAGATCCTTGAGGAATTTCTATTTCAATGGAGGTTTTTTCCTGTTTCATTGCATCAAAAAGAAGCTGAATGCTTCTTTTTTTATCATGGCTTTACCGACCGAGGCCCGGTGCCCGGCGCCCGGTTAGACTCGACGTCGGATTAAGTTCGGCGCCCGATTAGGCCTAATACTCATCACGTGACCACGCGACCATGCGGGTGGTTATAATTCCTTTCATCCCATCAAGCTTAGTATTTCGTTATTTAGCAGTTAGCAACGCAGAGAGTTTCCTTCTTATGCAGCTCGCATTCGCACCCTAACAATTACTAAATATATAGAACCAAAAAAATGTTCTATTCTTCTTCATTAAAAAATTAAGGTTTTATAAGCAGGGAATAAGTAAAAAATAGAGAAAAAAACATGAAAACATGCTAATCTCAATCAGAATACAATTCTATTTATACAAAAAGATTATAGGTGTGTTTAGCAGGTTGATATGCACATTGAAGCTCATATTAAAGCTATTTCATCAATGAGTTTCACTGTATTGTAGTGGCTGTGAGTTTATTGAACATACTATACACAGTTGCTTTAATAATAGCAATATATTCAATTATTAATATTTTAAATATTTAAGTGTGTGATTGTCGGAGAGAATCCGCTGCTTGGTGGTTGTCCGCTACTTGTGGTGAAGTATGTTACAGGATAGAAACTTGTAATAGCTTTGATAGTACTGATAGCACTGTGTTTTCTTTGTCTTTTGAAACTAAATTCATTCTCTTCATTCTTAGTTTTGCGCTAATCCTTTGTCAATTGAAACCATGCCCTTGATATCTGAGATAGATTCAAAATGAATTAGTTTTTATATAATTTTATCTGTCATACTCTGTGACGGGCTAGCCACTGAAAACAGCTAACAACTAGCGCGTATAGAAACAGAAAAGGAATCGTTAAAGGAGAAAGAAGGAACATAGATCTTGTAGGGGATTGAGCTCCTTTTTATAGGGAGCGGAGATTCAGTATGAGGATTCTACTCACTGTTGAGAAGAAATTCATGCTTTTATCTCATGGAAACTCTGTTAGTTTTCAGCTCAAACCAAAGTTTTCCTTAGACACAGACAGAAAAAAACCGTGATGAGCACGTGACCTAACCTAACTACGGACCCAAGGTTAGTGTAGCTGAGAATAACTAAGTGCAAACAAAGGGTATTTCAGAGAGTTGAGTTTTAACTAATCTTTAACATTTCTAACAGAACTCAGTTAAGATTTAGGGACAAATTCAACTGAATTCTTAATTGTATCTGTTTAAGCTCTAGTAGAGAAGGCATATGACGGAAAACAAATCACACGACGGAAGGGTCTGATATATTCATGGTTTTTGAAAGCAATTTCTTCAAGAGTTCACTCTTATGAGAAGTAAAACTCTAAGATTGTGTCATGGCGATATTTCAAATATACGTGGTGCTTGACTTTATATAATTCTGATTTGTTGTAATGTAATCAATCATCTAGTGAGATAGATCATCTACTGAGACAGATCTCCATCATTCAATATCTTTCTGATTGAATATCACCACAACTAAATAGTAAAACCAGCTAATTACATTATAAATTATTCCCTGTATGCTGGGAGCATATATGAATAGTATGTTCTATAACACCACATCTACTACACTGTAGTGCTGTTTGCTTTTATGATTGCTTATCAGACTGCTCTATTATCTCTCTTTTCTATGCAATGCCTCTTTGTATGTGATCCACCCCTTCTTGAACAGTTAAGCCCTCCCTCTGACTTATGTATGTATGACATCTTTCTCACTTTCTTTTTTGCTTTGCATTTATAGCCTTCAGCTCTTTGTTTTCTCTTGTTAAAATAACAACACTATGTATAGTCATCTGACATCTCTTGACTAGTTTTTCCAGAGCTTGATTAATTGAACTGAGTGAACTTTGTATACAATGCTTGAGATATTTTTTAATCTTCTCACTCTGAAGCTTCAGTTGTTGTATATTATAAGATGTGGCAGTGGCCTAGAAGGCCTGGGAGCTATGTGAGGTCTCTGGGGGGGTTAGTATATATATCTGAGTATTGAGCTGGGAAAGAACCTGCTCTGAATTGTATGGAGCTAGTTCTATAGCTTTAAATCCACTCTGAATATTCTTTTTGCTCAGAGCTACTCTACAAACTGAAGGATAGATAGTTAAAAACTCATTTTTATCAATATAATTGATATCAAGTCTTATTCTCTTCTCAACCTCTTTTCTGTATGCTTGCTTTAATGAGAAAAAACAAGCAATATCTAAAGACTGTAAGAGATGAGAGGAATAAGCTGACATATAAAGAGAAATAATCAAGTTTTAAGTGCAAAACTGATCAAACTCAGGATCATTATGACTGCCATGTTCATCAAGAATCAAGAGTCAACATTAATTGATTATACAGACTTAAATATGTTTATTGAACACCTCTTTAAGCCAGATTAAACCCAGCTTATCAGCTGTCTATTTATTTTCACTGGTTTCAATCCTCTAGTTATATGGTAGCCCATTTTCAAATCAAAAAGTCTGATGTAATTTCTCCTTGAAAATAATCATTGAAGATAATGACTAGTCTGTTAAATTGACTTTCTCAATAATGATGACTCATTCTGTATTTTCAGATTGTACAAGTTTCAGATAAAGAGTCTTCTCTGACTCAGTAATCATCTTGACTATTTCAATAACTCTCATCTAAAACTCAGTCTCATCAAAGTTATATATATTCTTCTGTACAATGTTATATTTCTGAATAGTATTCTGTACAAGTTTAAACCATTCTTGAATAATCTTAAGATCTTCACATAGAGCTCATTGATGGTTATATGATTAGAAGAATTAGATTTTTAACTCAGAATAACAGTCAATGAATCATTTAATTCAACTTTCATCAACAGTTTTTGAGTTGAAAGAGTTGTCTCAATTGACAAGAAGAAGATTGACTGTTTCTCATACAGTGCTCACTTAAGAGAGCTGACCACATTCATCTATGGAGATTATTCACTGAACAAGAGATAATTCCTCAATAGAGGTCAGTTTTTGATTTCTTAGCTGAGAGTTCACTCGCATTGTACAGCTGTAAAGTTGATGACAAAGAGTGAAATGAGAGATGTTGTACAATCTGGCAGCAGCTCTAGAACTAGAAATTTGACCTTTTTTAACTGCTTCAATAGCTAGAGTAAGTCTTCCTTCCTTGTATAAAGAATTGTCATCTTTGGTTGCTGACGTTTTGATCAATTAAGTAGTTAAATGCATTGTGTAGTGAAGACCTGTCTCAGTAGGTGATCTGTCTTGCTAGGTGATTGATTACATTAATACATTAGCAGCTTAGTCAAAAAGCAATGATATTTCACAGCCACCAACTTTCAAATCCTATGAAAAGTTGATTAATTAAAAATATCTTGCTTTTCATTCGCACAGTTTGCAACACGATGCGGAGCCACGGATGTCTATCTCGATACCCTTGATAGAAGCTATGTTGGCAGGCCAATTGGAAGACGACATGGAACAGATTGGACAAGGATGACATTGGGGGGAAAATATAAAAGAAAAGAACCCATCTTACGGCCACTGTTTCGGCCGACGTCCGGTCGAATGGACAATACCCTTGACTTGCAGAGCACGCGGCTCAATGGAGAGGTATTCGCAACTGTTAAGCTGTTTGAATACTGAACTGCAACCACATGTTGAAGGGTTCATTCTCTCACCATGATTTCATTATTCCAAGAAGTAGGCAGTATACAACTAGGGCTTGATAGCAAGCTGAAGGTTTCTCAGATGTGTTATTTCTACCCAAAAATTTCGGGTGCAGCTGGCTTGTGGACCATTTTGAGGTAATTTTCAATCCAGTTTCAGACGGCAAAGTAAAAACCATAGACTTAGGTATCGATGGCAACTAACTGGCATGTACGAATTCCAAGCATCTGGGAGGGATAGAGGTTCGCTGATGACCTGATTCCCGCGGAAACCCACAAGGTAATTTTGGGAGCACAGATTTTGAACAGCCAGAGGAAAGATCGAACTTAAAGTATACTGGGAAGTTCTTCTATATTTCCAGGTCTTTTCAGAGTAAAGCTGCAGCCGGAACTTAGACTAATATAACCTGCCGGGAGAGTAGACTACACGTAACCCTTCAGAATCGCACTCTCCGCCTTAGAGTTGGTGCATGGAAAGGTTAGCATTTACCTAAGTACTCTATAATAGGATTAGATAAGGTTACAAAACTCACGTTTAGAATACTGCTGCCTGACGCCCCCAATATCGTATTGTGACTAAGAGCAACAAATTGAATATCAAAGATCCCACTGTCATCTTCCCTAATCCTCCCCACGCTGCACGCGTACCCCCGTTCAGTGTCTCTGTCAAGGCGAGGCTGCGGCCGATCCACATCATCCAGAACATGAATAGCGTGTTTTGGAGCGGAAGGGCACCCTAGTTTTTGAACCTCTGATGTATACTCTCTCAATGCATCACGTACCTGGCTCGCAGTTGGTGAGGGTCGGTTCACGAACCGCAACGATGCGCACACGGTATGGCCATCGAGCACTGGGACACGGTTACACGCAACGGAAATTTGAAGGGGTTTATGGTCGCTGAATCCAGCAAGGTCCGACTTCAAATCGCCTAGAATTTTGCGCGCTTCAGAGGAGATCTTGCCTTCTTCGCCTGGTATGTAGGGGACGATGTTATCAAAGATGTCCATGCCTGTAACGATCAGTTAGGCGTGTGATGTAGTAGCAGGATGGGACACACTTGGAGGTAGGTAGCGCTTACTGCTGACGCCAGGATAACCCGCTCCCGAGACAGCCTGCATAGTCACCATGCTCACCGACTCGATTGGCCCAAACTTCAGAATAAGTGCCTTTGCTGGAATAACCAAGCCCACAACTGCACAATTTGAATTGCACACAATCATCCCCTTACCAAGCCCGTAATGCTTCCTTAGTGCCGGAATCACCTCAATATGCCCCGCATTAACTAGAGGTACCACCAACGGCACCACAGGATCCAACCGATAATTTCTCGCATTAGAAAAGACCGCAAAATTCGCCTTGAGGAAAGCCATCTCAATCTCGCCAGCGGCATCAGGATCTAGCCCGGAAAAAATGATGTCACAGTCTGAGAATTCAGAGGGGGCGCAACAGCGGACGGTCAGGTCTGCAGCTTTGGCAGGCATGGGCGACGATTGCTTCCATCTCACAGCGTCACGATATTTTTTACCTGCCGATCTGTCTGAAGCACCTACCGCTACTAGTTCCAGAAGCGGATGGTCTGCAAGAAGGAGAATGAACCGCGTCCCTACTGCGCCGGTGGCTCCTAGGACGCCTGGGAAATGTCAGTAAGTAATTATCAGGTGACTCACAGAATGGCCGTACCGCATCGCTTTTTCGTAGTCGTCGACATTGTTGTGCCTCTGTTTGGCTGTCAATCGTCAATGTCAATATAATTATCCAGATACGCATTGTGACAAACAGTAATGAACAGGCTTTTCTCAAACCTGCCATTGGCTGAGGCCTTGACAATTAGTCATCTCGGGATATCAGCTGCTCGGAAAATTGATTCGGGATAAACCAATATAACAAACTTTAAATCAACCTAAGAAAAAAGAAGTGAAATCAAGAAGTAAACAAAAATCTAAGATTTTTATTTTTATTTTATATTTTTTATCTAACAGGAATGATCTGTTGATTTGGGCTCTTTCACCTCAGCCCCTCTCAATGCATCACAGTATAAGAGAGTGCACATAGCCTGGATATACGGGTGCATTGCGACCACAATTAACTGTCAACTCTCCTCGCAGCAAGCTACATTACAACGGTGGCTTGAGGCAAGAAGGAAATCATGGGAGGCTTCCGATTACATCTGCCTGACGAGCTGGCCATGACGCTGTCAAGTCAATGGCCGTGTAGGGAGCTCCAGATTTGTCAACTTGCTGGTCTATTAAGTGTTCGTCTCTATCCTGCTTATACCTAGTCATAGTTTCCCAGCTAACAACAACGGTGCATCTTTGCGAAATAGCCTGCGCTCCCTTCTCCGCCAGCCATAATTGTTCACGGTCCTCAGAACTCTGGCAAATCGAGTGTTTTGGCTGCGCTTCTGGCTGCCTATAATGAGCCTCACACAGAGGATACAGCTCCGAATAGTCATCTCCCATGCGCTGTTGTGAAGTGCGCCGAGTGTATTACATCGCGACATCTTTTGGGGAAACTTGTGGCTACTGTAGTATCGAGCGCGTCTACTTCAGTTTCGTTTCCGGATGAGCACGCTCGGCGGGCTTGGATGGAACACACACTTTCCAAAGCCAAGTGTGATCATATAAGTCTGCTACCAGGCGTGCTCAGGGATGTTTTGGATAGTGCAGAATGTGGGAAATTTGTACTGGTGATGGATGGTGTGGACAATTTAAGGGAGGGCGGTCAGGTGCTTCTGGCTGCTCTGGGCAGGTTGGGGGAATTGGTATGTAGGAGCAATATAGGTCTCTTTACAACTTGACTTCCCCTGGTGATGGAGAACATATTCTGATTGCTATGTTTCAGGTCCCATCGATTTGTGTTGTATTCGTCATGAATGCCTCTCCCCGACCCCTCTTGTTACAGGTCGCCGGGGTACCTCATGTCTATTTTCCGCCGTATTCGCGGAACGAAGCCATTGCGATAGTTTCTGGCTCCCAGCCACCTGAACTGCCTGACTTACCTCCGGAAGCAGCCATGAAACTGTACCCTCCTTTCTTATCAACAGTTTACGATTCACTCATCGGGCCGACAGCTAGCACAATTCCCGTTTTCCGATCCGCATGTGAAAAGCTGTGGCCCCGATTCGTTTCTCCCATAACTAATAAGGAAAGGCCACCAGGATTAAACCCACGGGCACAATGGGATTTTTCCAGACTACTTGTTCGGAATAGAGCTTTATTCCAACAGCAGGGTGAAGACGTGCTGGTCCATCACATTATTTCTGACAATCCACTGTCCGTAACAACCAACTCAGCAACATCGACATCAACCAAACCATATTCCATCCCAAAATCATCTTCACCTCCAACCCCCGCACTCCCCTACCTCCCGACGTTAGTCCTCACATCAGCCTTTTTGGCAGCGCACATCCCTCCCCGCCTCGACACAATCTTCTTCTCAAAATTCTCCTCATCCTCCCTTTCCGCCCGAAACAAGCGCGCCCACCACCGGAGACGCCTTAAAGTCCTCTCTCAATCCGAATCCCACAACCAAAACCCCGACACCACCGAACCATGTACCTCTTCAAAATCAACAGGCAAGAGGCAAAAATCGCGACATACAAAAATCACAAAATCAGCACTCTCATCAGCACTCGCATCCTCATCCTCTGCTGCAAGCTTCATCAATCCACGCCCTTTTCCCCTCGAACGCCTTCTCGCCATCTACCGTGCCATCGACCCGAACCCACCCACCCCACCTTCCACCACCAAACCCATCGCGGACATGATATATCCGGAACTAGCCACACTGCAGCGTTTGCGGCTGCTTGTCCCTGCCTCATCTGGAAGTGGTGTCGACGGCACGGAGAAGTGGTGTCTCAATGCGAGTGTGGCTGTTAGCTCGAGCTTCGCAGGGCCGAGTGAGTGGATTGCGGAGATGGCGAGGGGGATTGGGGTTGAGGTTGGAGAATATTTGGCCGGAGGATTAGATTGAGTGGAGACGAGGATGGGGCGAAGGGGCGTTTTTGGGTTTACATTTGTTGCGATCAATTTACATACATGGGATCTGGCGCATTTGATTAGAATATCTTGTTGCGGCCCGCCGTCAACCAAGGGGTGCAGATTGTTACAGAGATCGCGGGCCTATAGTGGCGGTTGGTGTTGGTGTTTTTATTGTTAGCGGATAAGCGGGAGGGAATATTCTGCAGTAGTTTCTCTAGAGTTCGGATTGCGAGAAACATGAATACGAAACAGGATTGGATCATCTGATCCGCTCGGGGAATGACACTCGGGAGTACGCAATAGTAAATGAAACATTTCTTTTTGGTTCTTCAAATGGCTATACCTCATCACTGCTGGCAACAAGTTTGGAAACGGACAACCTCGTGGGACCGGGCTCGTTCAAGTAGCCGCTTGGGTCAAGGTTTGGTGGCCAAGTGGTAATCTTTCCCCGTTTCGGAATGGAATAGTGACAGAATGGCAAACTTCATTGTACGGGAACGACAATATAGTGGAAAACAGGGGTCGGGTCGGACAAAGAGCGGGGAGTTGGTTGCAAAAACCGACGTCAGAAGGTTTGAATGATTATGAAAATTTTTAAGTTAGTAACTGTTTCAATTTTCCTATGTATGTGAACACTCTCAGGAACAAGAGAATTGCCAACATAATTGGTGGGATCAACAGCAACTTTAGGAGTCTTCCATTCTTTTTCCGTTCTTATCCAGTCATGCGGTGTGGTCCTTATTCAACCGAGTCCCTGGATATCTTTCCAAATGTCTAAGATGCTCCACCTAAATACCTAAATACACACCCTATAGGAGCTGACATAAAGTCCAATTACCGTCTTTCTATGAAGATGCAGGCTCATTGCAAAGTGAATGCATACACACATGCACACTTACACCCATCCACTCATGCACAGGTAACCTTCCATATCACCAACCATTGCGTACGAAAACAGCAACAAACCACACATCCGTAACCCCTTATTCGCCTCATATCCACCCCACCTCCTATGCACCCCCACCCCTAACAGGCAAAACCTCCGTAACCCGAGGCACAGCCCACCAATCATGCCAACGGCCCTTCGACCCTACCGGCGGAATCTCCACAGCCAAGTTGAGCTTCGGCCGTCTTTCACATTCTCCGTCACCACTGCCACTCCCGCCACTCCCATTCCCATCACCGCCGCCCCCTGACCCGGCCGCAGTCATAGCCCTCTTCACAACTTCAATAGCAATACTAGCCGCAATACACGCGCGCAGCGAATCCTTCATATCTGCCATCCAATCGTCCTCCAGACTCTTAGGTCGCTCGGGCGCTCCCGCCTTTTCACTGTCTCCCGCCCCCTTCCCATCCACACCATTCTTACCTCCCCACTCCCAGCCCAAAACCGCCCCACCCCCAAGACACTTCTCAACACCCTTCTTCGCCTCCGCCACGGCCCTCAGCCCCCTCTCCAGCACATCCTCATCCGGATCCCCCGCCAGCGCCGCCTCCTGCTCGAACATCTCGTACGGCACGAGTTCGGGCAGCGAGATGGGCAGGAAGGGCTTCATGCGCAGTTCGTAGCGGAGACGGGGGGACGAGAAGGTTTTTGTGGATGGCCGGCGTGGGGATGGGGGTGACGATGTAGAGGAGGAGGAGGAGGTGGTGGAGGTGGTGGTAGTGGTGGAGGCGAGGTGGATGGATGGGAGGAGACTGTGGCGGTGTAGGAGGACGTAGAGGCAGTGCAGGGCTACGGCGAAGGCGTCTATGGCGACGAGTTCGGTGGTTAGGCGGTCGAGAAGGGCGAGGGTGCGGGTGTAGGCTTTGTTGTGTTTTGATGTCACTGTTGCTGTTGAGGTTGCGGTTACGGTGTCTGGTTTGTTGGTTTCGGTTGCTGTCGTTGAGGCTATCGGTGTGGACGCTCTCCTGCGCGCCGCGTGCACGCAGGAACGAATCCGGTCCAGGTGGGCGAGGTGTGTCGCGCAGAGGTGAGAGAGATACCAGTACATCCCCGGCATTTCCTCGGGAGAGTAGATGGATAGTTCGAAGCCGAGTTGGAGGATGAAGCGCATCTGGCGGAGTTTTTCGTGGTAGGCCCAGCTGCTAAGTGGGTAGGCGTAGGTGGGCTCCGTGCCGTGGAGGATGATGGATGGTTCGCAGGATAAGGTGCGGAGGTGGACGTCGAAATCTTCGGCCTGGAGAAGGGGTTGATGGGTGAGAAAATTGCTGTTGGGTTGTCAACTTGGCTAAATTCAGATCGAACATACCTCTGCCTGCAGAGCGTCCCAGTCGACAATGGCGTGGCAGAGTGTGCGGCGGACTCGACACCTGTTCAAACAGGCGGTACGGTAAACATCGACGAACAGCTGAATTTCATTAGCAATACTAGGCTATGTAATAGAAAAAATATATATCCCTACCTGTGCAGCCCGTTTAACAAAGTTATCCACATGTTTAGCGATCTGAAACCTGGAATCCGACGGGACCTCTACCTCCTCATTCTCCGGATCCAAAAGTCGACTGTCCGGCAAAACAATCTCGGCAAGCGCATCGAAGAAGAAATCCTTCACAGCCACCGAGCCAAGGATCTTCATCTTATTGACAAGAAGCGACTGAACAAGGGATCTAACATAGACACACGGCTGCGGCTTGCGCGACTGCAGTGCCCATACTAATGTCTATTTCAAAAACGCGACGTGTCACCCATGGATGTTCCGCACGGGGTTATAAGGGGGCATTTCAACGAAGATCGCTAGGAAGTGTTAGGAAGTGTCTAACATACCTGCAAATTATACGGCCCTTTATACTCCGAAATCTGCAGCGCATCAACTGCATCCCGACAAAACCTCTTCATATGCGCCATCGCATCTGCCAGACGAATCTCGACCATGGGCCTAGGGGGCACAGTACTAGCCAAACGACGCTGGATCTTCAAGCTAAACGCCTCCGGAACAGGTCGACCGACCACCACCGACTTCTCAAGGAGCGAAAGCTGCGCCAGGCTCTTGAGAAAGTGTTGAGAGGTGCGCATTTTGACGGGCGCGTTATCCATGTCTAAGGCGCGGAGTAGCTCAGCGCGGAATATAAGACGGGCAGTCAGTGCTTCACGGACTGTGTCATCGATAGCTCCCTTCTGAGTCTCTAGCCAGTTTAGGGCGTCGGTGAGGACGGCTTGGATGCGTGACGAGTCGACGTCGGCGAGAAAACTGCGGTTATAGAGTTGGGTGACGAAGTCTTCATCCTAGACATTGCCAAAAGTAATGCTGTTAAATAGACTACCACCATGCAAACGTGGATAGCACCCCACAAAGATCCAATGCTTATCGTAATGCAACTCACCTCGTGGTAATACTCCGAGCTCACTTTGGAGATCACCCGATCGCACGCCTTGATGAGGGCAAGACAATACGCCCTCAAAACAAGACCAACCAGCCCATCCCATCTTTCCTTCTTCGAACCTCCCGTACAATCCCCACCCTCTCCCTCCCCACCTTTACCAGTCCCACGGCCATCCACCCGGTCAAATCTCGCCTCATCCAGCGTCTGCGGAACAGGCCAAAGTAACCTATCGAGGTAGATGGACGTAAACAGCGTCTGCGAGAGCGGATGGCCGATATGCCACGCAACCTATATATGTAAGGTCCAAAAGGTTAACACGCCGGATCCATCCGACCGTAGCAGATAATATCCACCAAAACTAGAAAAATATAAGCCTATATAGTATACTATACCTCTTGACACAACAACTGATCGGTAATTCCCACAACTTCCTCCGGCAACAGATCACTAAGAACATCATAGTCGTCATCCAGCGTTTCCCCAGGCGCTAGGTATCCGCTATCCATCTTCTCGTCCATGATCTGTATTGCAATTTTGGGCCCGTCAGCCTAGATAGCCCCCGCATGTTTACCGAGCTCAATGCATATTATGCCGCAACACGACCAAAAAAAAAAAAAAACCCGAATGGAGATTGGTGATTAGATATCTGAATGTAGTATCTAATGTACGCACCTCCAGCGCCCCCACTGCCTCAAACAGCGTGAATTGCTCATCCTTGACGAGTTGGCCGATATTTAGAACTAGAAAAGTGCACGAGGGCCGGGGCGTGGCATGTTTGTTAGCGGCGTTCTTTTAAGGCCATGAGAGATATATGCAGGGGATGTGCAAATGCAAAAAGAGGGGAAATTCAGTTTAACTGCTCAACTGTGAAGAAGTGTAAGGAATACACACCAGAGCTAGCTTTCGTGAAGGCGGCTGTGATATCTTGTGCGTTGGTGTTGCCGGAAACGAGGCGCGGGGCGGGGGAGGGGGCAGCCGGAGCGGTGGTTGTTGGGCTCATGGTTGCTTGGGAGGGTATTGGGGTGTATGTGGGTTGGAAGGATGGCCGATCATGCCATGATTGTATGGAGGAAGATAAGGAGAGTGGGATATATTATATAGGTGTATATGTGTGAATTTCGTGGAGGTGTAGAGAGTAAGTAGTGAGGTGTATCATACGGTAGTTCAAGGCGGGTTGTTGGTGTGAGTGTGGGCGGTGAGGTTGTTTGGGCAATTAGTTAACTTAGTTAAGTATTGAGTTGCGCGGGATGGGACGGGAGAGTAAATCGCTGAGCCGGTGACATTTGGGCAGGCAAATATCCCAACTCAACCAGAGATACCTGCTGGGCATGGTTTTGAGAAAGAAATGGATAGATCGGGTATTTGATAGTTATGCAATTGATGTTCCCCCATCTAAGAAAATGCGCTCTTCTATCTCCCATTCCATCTTCTGCGGACCTACGACATTTCTCACACACCCGCAACGAAGCACATCCGCACTTCAACAGCCCCATTTACCAACCGCTATGCACAAAACAAAATGTAACAGGAAGATTGATTGATTGATTGATTGATTGATTGATTGATCGGTTGATCGATTGATTGATTGATTGATTGATTGATTGATTGATTGATTGATCGATTGATCGATCGATCGATTGATCGATCGATCAGTGTACTATTCATGTACAAAAGAGAAAAAAGGTAAATGTGTCTTGCATATCTATATCAACAATCCCTTTCTCCATTCTACTTCAATATCTATCCCGCCACCAGCAGCACCATCGGGACAATTATAACCGTATATATCCGTACAATACCAAGAAGCCGCAATCTATTTCGACGCCACCGCAGCCTCTGTGTCCGTCTGCTGAGCCGCAGCAAGACTCTTCACATCGCCCTGTTTGCCATTCTACACCCGTCACACAAACCGCAAAACCGTTAGTCAATGCCTCTCTAATCACTCAGTCCCATTCCCATATCCATTGCGGATCCCCAAACCCAGCACCGATCTCCTTATCTCTCTCTATATAAATGCAAACTCACCTGCCATTTGGCGAACTTCAAATCCATCTCCCCGCGTCTCTCGGCCTGGAGGCGGGGTTCTTCCTTCAGCGATCGGCGGACGGTCCGCGCGGCGATGGCTAAGTAGCGGTTGTATCTGTATAAAGGCATTCCCCATTATGGGGAGGGGGTATGTGAGCCACATATGCAGTTATGTATGTATGGAGGGATAATGTTCGAATTGGGAAGAGAACGGAGCCAGGGGAGTCCGGAATGGTTCTAAACGGACGAGGGGGGGGGGGGGGGGGGGGGGGTTCAACCATCTGGAAAAGGGGGATTTTTCCCAACGAGAACGCCATGGCTGTATGAGTGGGTATATGTGGAGGAGGAGGAGGAGTTGGCCTGAGAGGACTGGAAGTAAATCGTGGTGCAGGTTTGTCTGTTCTGGACTGGGCAGATTTCAATGAAAGAAAAGGAGCAAACAGCGATTGAGTGACCGCCTTGGGTTAGGCCGGTGAGTCACGGGATAGAGACTCGGCGGACTGGTTTGGGAATAGTGTGCCACGTGATGCTCTCGCTGGATCAGTCAGCAGAACTTCGGCATCCAACACATATTTTATATACGATGAAATACCCGGATAATAATTATTTAAATTTCAGTGTGAAAAAATAAGTGATGAATGGAATGAATGATTTATTGATTTAAAGAGATTAATCCCTTGAAATAGTATATTAATAAGATAGTTATAATAACTAAAGTATATTTTATTAAAAGAGATAATTTATAACTTATCTAAATTGTAGTAGAAAGATCTTTTTAACTTCCAATTATTACCAGCTCATCGGGTCTAGCATGCCAGCTCTTCTGCCTTGCCACACTACGACTGCTCTTCCTCCCCCTAGCAAGGCCCTAGCAAGGTTACGGGTTCATTTTCAAGCCTTGAGCAGTGAATGCACGCTTGAGCGAGCGATGCAGGAACTACGGATGCGCCTCTTATCATCCCCGGACAAAATAAGCACCATCATTGTCCAACAGCAATCGTGTAGAGTAAAACATTGCACAATTAAAAAAAGAAAGAGGGAAAAAAAATACTCAGAATTAAAATTCAAATAATCCAAGCAATCCCATGCGAGAGTTTGAGATTTTTTCTCTTTCCATTCGCCTGTTCTAATATAGTTGCCATTAACATTGGTTATTGCTTTATCCCCTCACTTCCCAGGAACCCAACGAACTCCCCCCCTCTTCCCCTTCTCCCACTATCCCTCCCCCCTCACACTCCCCTGCATCTACCAACCCCCAGCCCAACACACCCTCCTGCACCCGAAAATTCGGTTCCCACACGGCCCGCCAGCGCCAGCACCAACGCCAGCATTAACGCCAAGTCCCTGGTTTCCGCAGCCTCGCGCTACCACCATCGCACCACTCGTAGCCCTCCTAGAAGTCCCAAAACCCACATTGCCGGGTTTACTACCCATGCACGCATGCATACATGCATGCATCACCGTGTGAACCACCATCCCTATACTCCTGCTATGACCACGGCCATGGCCCACTCCCGTTGCTCCGGACCTGCCGTTTTACCCCTCAAATATCAGTCAGCTTGCTGACTTGACCATGTCACCATGGCGCCATGGTCCTGGTATTTGGTGGCAGGGTTCCATGTGCTGTTCGGACTGTCCCTCTCGTCTTGCTTTGCTCCGGCAGGGTAGGGGTAATATGGAGCAGTGAGGGAGGGAGTGGGAGTGAGAGGATGGGGCTGGTGGATGATATGCTGGAGAGTTAAACGGGGATTTTTGTTCGCTTTGTTTTTATTCCGGATACCAAATGCCTGGGTTTCTCTGGATGCCGGATGCTGGTTTATGGGGCCGTTAGGGGGTTGCCTTGGGCTAAGTAAGGCACCGTCTGTGCCTGTGTAGAGGTGTCTAAGGACACGTATGTATATGGCTGTACATGTACATGGATGTCCATCCATACATACAGGTACATATCTCAAGGCTCCAAACATCATTGACGGTTTGTTGTCGAGCGGCCAGTGTTCAGAGGGGCAAAGGCGTCATAGATGGCGAAGACGACGACGGGGGAACCTGGGAGACGGGACAATTGGTCTTTTGAAAAGGATCGAAAAATTCAGACAGCGTCTTGCTTGGATATTGGGTACTTTGTCCTCTCCTTAGTAGAATGAGCCAATGAGCCTGAATTTGAGTCGGGAACCTTCACCCTCTCCACCATCCCCCTCTCTCGCGCGCTTCACTTCCACTTTTTCCATTTTGCTCTGCCCTACTCTGCTCAGCTCGCACCCTCGAAGTTATAGTGCCTGTACGCATTCCCGCACTCTTTCTTTTCTTCTCTTCTCTTCTCTTCTCCTCTCCTCTCTTTTCTTTTCTTTTCTTTTCTTTTCCCCATCTGTGCCATTCACTTTGATAGACATCTCTATCAACTTCGAGGGAATGCCTCTTCACATCTGAATGTCTATCTGTATACCATGTAAATAAACGAGAGATGACATGTGCAGATCGTGGTGCCATTGCTCCTCCTGCTTCTGATGTATTCGTTGGCAAAGGGGAATACCATTCCTATTCACTTGGTACCATCCATCAAAAGTCACCTTGAATGTATCTTCCTGCTGGCAACTTAGCTCAGCTGACCCCTTCATTCAACCAACTTTAACTCATCCTCCTCAAGCGACAGCCTCAGTATCCAAACCCTCACCCTGCTTAACCACAAATCACAAACCAATCTCCAATTATCAACAGCTATATCAGCCTACCCCTCAGTATCTTATCCTTCCTTCTATCTGGTCCTCGCCACCTAATCTTCTCCATCCATTCGTATCTTCGAAAACCTCCTAGTACCCTCACTAGCTGTACCGCAAGTGGATATATAAAAATCCTTAATGCTCGTCACTCGTTGAGGCTCCTGGACAGTCAGTCTCTCACTAATCGGGAGAACTGTGAGTATAGATTTGATAGAACCCTTCAACCGCGTGAGCTGCCCAGTCATCCATTTCGAAGGAATCGGAACATTTGCTGATTGTCAAAGAAACGGGGCCAATCCACACATTTCTTGTCGTCGAAAAAGCACGCAGATCATATCCATACAATATAACCGGATAAATTGCGATATAACAGGTTCAATCGGAGATCTCAAAACTCTCATCCGCAATCTCCCCAATAAGCTCCTCAGTCACCTTGCAAAAACTGGCACGAAGTGAATTTAAAAAATAAATAAATAAATAAAAAATAAAATAAAAAAAATAAAAAAAAGGGTAACCTACGGGCGTCATCAATTACCTTACCTTTAACACAGAAACCAAGAACCATTCACACAACACCCACAGTTTGCGTCGCGCTTGTGCAAGTCACTCACACACGCTTCGATTCACTAGCACCAAGTGCATCAAATAAAATTGATAAGAGCTTCAATCATCGCCACCCGCATAAAAAGGGAGCAATGGCGTCTTCAGCCCGTACCCCAAGGTCACCCAGGAGGCGTATGGAGAGCGGGGCAATCATAAAAAATACCCCACGACCCTCGAACCCGCGCTCAACCCGGCCGAAGAAACGAAGCATAGTTCGTTGGAGTGGTAAGTCGCTCAATTCTCCCTCTCCCCCCTCAACTTCCACTTCAACCGCATATTTGCGCCTTTCCACCCTCCAATAGCTAAACACATGCAAAATACCGTTACAACCACTTCGCCCCCCCAAAAAAGACACACTCAACAACAAACTCCTCCTCTCAATCCAAAGCGCCTGCAACTCCCTGGCCATCAAACTACCCTGGCAAGAAATCGCCGGTTTGATGGGTGGAAGCATCTCCGACTCCGCCATCGTGCAACATCTCACCAAACTCCGCGCGAGGATGGAAGAGAGCGGCGCTAGCGTTCCGCCACCGTTGAAGCGTGGAGTTGGCTTTTCCAGGACCGGTCGCGGTACCAGCGATGGGACAGCATCCGCAACTGCAACCGCCAGCTGTTCCAGCAGGTTAAAGGGAGGCAGAGGCACTACACCAAGCAGCACGAAGGTAAAGGTGGAAGTCGAGGAGAATGAGGAATGGAGTGATGATTCCTCGGACGACGAGAGAGAGGATGATGATCGTGTGGGTGCATCCAGTTTCAAACGCAATGATATTGATGAATATAACCGCAGCGATCATGACAACGGTCAATATGTCTCTGCGGGCGCTAGCTTTCTTCATTTCCCCGTCGACACCGGCTTGGCAAGTTATTATAGTAGCCGAAAAGCGAAGAGTCACACAACGTTATCTGCATCTGCGTCCGTGTCTGCATGTAGTGGAACCTCGCCACGCTTGAGGTCGAAGATTGTGAAGGTTGGGATGCGTGGTGCAACGGGTCAGGGCATTGGAGGGAATCGCGGTGGTCTCGGGGGTGGGGCTACTAAAAATACCACTGTCGATGTTCTTGGGCAGAAGTTCTCCGGTCATAATATCAGCTCTGCGTCGAGCCAGACAGTGTATAGTCCCGATTTCAGCGCGGATTTGCAGGTGGATGCGGGTGGCAATTTGCAGCCTGTCATCGGGGAATCGACTGTGACTACAGGACATCTGCCGCACCAGTACCAGGATGGCTGGACTGAGTCCGCGCGCGGCGCTCAGCATTCACCAGCGGTGGACGGATTGCGACAGGGAGGCCAAGGTAGATATGGCAATCACAACACCAACCCTGGTGCTGGATACCAGCAGCATACTAGTCATTTCAATATGGCTTCCAACACAGGAATTCCGCATCACGGCACTAACACCAACCCATTCCTTCCATCAGGAGGATATCAGGAGACCGGGAACCGTTTCCAGAACAGCGACATGCCCCCACCACCCGCACCACAGCACAATTCCCCCATCTCCCCACGAGACCCCCATCTCTACGTGGACGGAATGGGTATGGGTGCATTAGAAAACATCGCGGGTGGATTGTGGCATAATAATGCCCACCCCCACGCCTGCAGACCATCCCCAAAAAACCCCACCTGCCACACAGACCCATTCGTGCGGCGCGGAACCAGCAGCGCCAGCATTATCACCAGCACCACAACTGCGGACACAGGCACAGAAGCAGACACGATAACCCCAGCGATACTAGACCAACTCCCCTCGATGCAGGAGCTGGATAGCTTCGGTGGTTCATTGGCTGATGCACTCCTCGATGATATGGATGATATGTTTGCTCCCTTGCGGGAGGCATGGGTTGATGGATCATGGTGATGGGGCGGGCTGGTGTGTTTTGAGGCGTGGATGTGGATGTGGATGCAGTAGGGAAACCAGAGTTGAATAAATTCAAGGTGTTGCTTGAGATGTTGGGTTTTTTTTTTTTTTTTTTTTTTTTTTTTTTTTTTTTTTGCCTGTGTTTTGGCATCTGGCACGCTTTTTCTGTTTTCTAACGATTTATGATGTGCCCAAGGATTACTGAGCGTTTCCTTTTCCCCCATGTTTCTAGGACCGTATGTGGAATGGAGATCATCTGTTATATTTGTTAAGCAATACTTCTCATATGGTCAAGCTGGGTTCCAACTTTTTTGCTAACAAGGGGCCAGAGAGGGTTAAGATTTCCCCCTGGTTTGTTTGACCTTATATGATAGTTCTGAAACGGGGGAGAATGGGGCCACGGAAGGATCCCTGTGATCATGAGATATATGGATATCTCCATATCTCCATATATATTCCCCATTGAAACCATCTTGAGCATATAATAGCACAATATAAATGGCAGCATGCATCGACATCTTCAATGAAATGGAACGATGCATTAACTATAGGAACAATTAGGCAGATGCCTATTCTGGACTTTGCCTGCATCCACACACAAAACGACAAATCCCCAGGCTGACCCCGATAAGCCCATCAAGGCCATCTTACCCGCGCCGCATCCAGGGAGATCCCTTTTTGTTGCTCTTCTTCTCTTCTCGGCCCCCTGAAGTTGAAGTTGAACGTTCGACGTTGCTGCCAGTTGATGAATATAATCACGTGATCTTCAGATCTAGATTGATGATTAAGCCATTGCACCATGTGACTTTTCTAGTGCCTTCCATGGCCAGTCTCGAATAGGAAACCCGCCAAGACCCTGTGGAGAATCTTTCAAAGCGGCCATTCACAAAAAAAAAAAAGAAAGGAAGGAAGGAAAGAAAGAAAGAAAGAAAGATCCAACATTTCAACGAACGAACAATCCAACGACGACTTCTTTTCTTTTCGTACCTCAACCTCCTCCTCATCTCCAGCTTTCCCCAGCCAATTGAACACAGTCACTGTCCACTCTGGCCTCTCCTCCCCGCTTCTTGGGTTACTGGGTTATTGTAGCGCTGTTCTCTTCTTGTTTTTTATATATTCCAATAGTTTCATAGCGTTGTAATATCTCAAAAAAGTTATCTTTTCTTCGTAATGCAGCGAGCTTTTACTTCCTCCCGGGCTTTGGTCCTCTCCTCCGCTTCCTCCGCTTCCTCCACACGCGCTCCTCTCTCGCGATTCCGATCTGCTGGAGTGGGTCTGCAGCAGCAGAGATTTGCTCATAAGGTACGTTTGCTGCTGTCAGCTAGCATTTCGAGACCGTCAATGGCAGTTGCAGATATAACGGGCTAGATATTGCATCTTTCCGCATCAACCTGTGCCGTCCAATGCTGACGAAATCGCTGTTGTAGGAACTCAAATTTGGCGTAGAGGCCCGCGCTTCTCTCCTCAAGGGCATCGATACCCTTGCAAAGGCTGTAACCACTACTCTCGGCCCAAAGGGACGAAATGTCCTGATTGAATCCCCCTACGGCTCCCCAAAGATTACCAAGGGTATGTGTGGCCCATAATTTCACCCAAATCTGAGCATATCAGATTAGAGAGCGTTCAATCTAACAAATCCAAAACTATAGACGGCGTTACTGTTGCCAAGGCTGTTAACCTCCAAGACAAATTCGAGAACCTGGGTGCTCGTCTCCTCCAGGACGTTGCCTCCAAGACCAACGAGGTTGCTGGTGACGGCACTACTACCGCAACCGTGCTTGCCCGGGCTATTTTCTCTGAAACCGTTAAGAATGTCGCTGCTGGATGCAACCCCATGGATCTCAGGAGAGGCATCCAGTCTGCCGTTGAAGCCGTTGTCGAGTACCTGCAGGCGAACAAGCGGGATATCACCACCACTGAAGAGATTGCCCAGGTCGCTACTATCTCTGCCAACGGCGATACCCATGTTGGCAAGCTGATCTCCAACGCCATGGAGAAGGTCGGAAAGGAAGGTGTTATTACTGTCAAGGACGGAAAGACCATCGACGATGAGTTAGAGGTCACCGAGGGCATGCGATTCGACCGTGGCTATGTATCCCCATACTTCATTACCGATACCAAGGCGCAGAAGGTCGAATTTGAGAAGCCCCTGATTCTGCTTTCTGAGAAGAAAATCTCTGCAGTCCAAGATATTATTCCAGCCCTGGAAGCCTCCACAAGTCTCCGACGCCCTCTCGTTATCATCGCAGAGGACATCGAAGGTGAAGCCCTCGCCGTCTGCATCCTCAACAAGCTCCGAGGCCAACTGCAAGTTGCTGCCGTCAAAGCCCCAGGATTTGGCGACAACCGCAAATCCATCCTTGGCGACATCGGCATCTTAACCAACGCCACTGTTTTCACCGACGAGCTCGACCTCAAACTCGAAAAAGCAACTCCAGACATGCTCGGCTCCACTGGCTCCATCACCATCACAAAGGAAGACACCATCATCCTTAACGGTGAAGGTAGCAAGGACGCCATCGCACAACGCTGCGAGCAGATCCGTTCCGTCATCTCCGATCCAGCAACCTCCGACTACGAAAAGGAGAAACTCCAAGAACGCCTCGCCAAGCTCTCCGGCGGCGTCGCCGTAATTAAAGTGGGCGGGGCCTCCGAGATCGAAGTAGGCGAGAAGAAGGACCGCGTCGTCGACGCACTGAACGCCACCCGCGCCGCCGTCGAAGAAGGCATCCTTCCCGGCGGTGGCACGGCCCTCCTCAAAGCCGCTGCCAACGGCCTCACATCCCTCAACCCGACCAACTTCGACCAGAAACTCGGCATCTCCATCATCAAGAACGCCATCACGCGTCCCGCGCGCACCATCGTCGAAAACTCCGGGCTTGAGGGCTCCGTTATCGTTGGGAAACTGACGGATGACTTCGCTAGCGATTTCAACCGGGGCTTCGACAGTGCGAAGGGGGAGTATGTGGATATGATAGGGGCGGGGATTGTGGATCCGTTGAAGGTTGTGAGGACGGCGCTGGTAGATGCTAGCGGGGTCGCGTCGTTGTTGGGGACCACGGAGGTGGCGATTGTTGAGGCGCCGGAGGAGAAGGTGCCTGCTGGGTCTGGTGCGGGTGGCATGGGTGGTGGCATGGGCGGTATGGGCGGGGGTATGTTCTAGGTAAGGGATGGGAATGGGAGGGGTGAAGTCGTTGATGTGTAAGGTTGAATCTAACACGCAGTGTCCTATCCATCTGTTTCTGGTTTGTGTTTTTCTCTTCGTTTACCTTTTTTCGCTTCGATAAATTGTGTCTTAACACGGAAGAAAAAGCGGAACAGCCTATTTCCTTTTTCATTTTTCTTTGTATCTCTATTGGAAAAAACCTATCTCCTTTTCTTTTGTTTTGCTGTGTCCTCCGTGTGTGCACTAGCTGATCTCCCCTTTGTGTTTCCTATCTCTTATCTATGTACTCTACCAACCTATCGTCATTCAGGGTGTTTTTCCATATTGCTCCTTTGCATTGTTGCTTTGTCTCTCTCTCTCTCATTCGGTTCCTCTTAGCTCATTCATCACCCCACCCCTCTCTTCCACCCCATCCACCTACCTCCCCGTACATAACCAGCCACACTTGCTACACGCCTGTGCATTTCCCGCACACCCGCTTCCCTCTCCATCAGGTTTAAGATAGAAGAAACCTCTCCACTCCACTTCACCTCATCAATAATCAGTCACTCTCCCCTCACGCACTACTTCCTACCTACCATGTCGCCTCTGTATACCTAGCACTCTCCCAGACAGTAATATTTAGAGTGATAACGTCGAAGCTGATTTAGTACGTGATTTTCATTTGAGACTTTGAGATTTAAGTTCCTGGTCGACTGGAGGAATTTATTTAGTTTCTTCTTCCTTTAGATACATATTCGACTTCCAAGGATTTGTTTTCCTTTGTAAATCCCATTCTCCCCCAGTCCGCCCTTCCCTTTCAATTTGCTCCATCGCTGGCACATGTGGGGAGAGCTTGAAAAGGCATGGAGGAATAAAGAGGAATATTTACAAGCGCCTGCTATACTATAAAATATACAAAATTATATCTCTTTCAGAAATAGAAATGCAGAGACATAATGCAAGAGTGATGTGTTGTAGCAGCGATGTTAGTTGGCTATGTTTTGATATCAGACTGCTTAGTCATCTAGCCCTATCCCTTCAAAAAAAATTCCGACGAAGCTAAAAACGACGCACTGATGCAATTAACTTCCACGGCCCGCACACATTGCCAGTATCCAGAATACCAGCATAATAATCGAAGGACGAAGAATTGGCTGCTGCTTGTGGCCTGTATGCAATGTGTCTATTCATGCCACTCGCCATGAATACCTAGGTATCTGCTCCGAATATTGCGAAAGAGGCACACATCGCCCGGTCCAGGCTGCCAAATTTTCCGGTCAACCGCCATGTATGCTTTTGCCTGCAGGGCCGTGTGCATACAGTGATCTATGCGTGGCTCCAATGGTTTGTAATCCACCGTGATCAACAAACAGCATAGCCCCTCCATTCCCTCAACTTCTCCCTTCCAAAGTTCCCTTCAACTCGCGCTTCCAGTGACATCTCTCTCACCTTCTATCTCAACGAGGTATGTGAAAAGCCCTGTTTCGCCCTTCAGAGCTCTGCACTGCCGTGGCAGTCGTTGCATCTATCTAGTGCTGTCGTCTCAACGCCCTCCGCACACTGGTCTCGTCAACTTCTACACAGATGGATACCCTACGCTCATTTGAAATATACTGAGATGCAAGCCCCGCTACTACTCTGGCGTTGTCGCCTGCTAACTCTCGCCTTGCATTTTCTAGTTCTTGCCCGCTTTCTGCATCCCTCTCTCCAAGACTATAACTAGAATACATACATCTGCTATATCCTGTCCCAGGTTTCATTCAGGCGTGCAACCATGTCATCTGTAAGTGTGTGCGGGCACCGAGTAGCTCGGTGTTTATAACCTTCATTTCGGGGGTTCATTTCAACGTGTTTAAATTTGCAGCTGCTGATGTTGGTGACTGGTTGCTTAGGGTCTAGTGTACGGTCCCCCCTTTCCCCTTCGTTTCTGTCAGCCGACATTTGCGGGGGATTTAGGAATGTATTCAATTGCACGCAATGGCGGCGTAACATCAGTCTGCTCTTTTAGAATGGGGTTCTGCCAGGAGGCCATGCGTGCAATTGGAGACAAGACCTCCCCTTCGTGCATTGATTGAAATAAAATCTAATCCATCATTCGATAGATTGCCGTTGGACGCTGCGAGCACCAAAGCTCTCGAGAGGCTGAGAGGCATCGACCCGAAGGACCGCTTGAAATTTGTCATCTTCAGAATCACGGGTCGCAAGAAAGAATCTCATGAGATAGTCGTCGACGTAGAGTCGGCCCAAGGCGATTACGAGGAATTTCGCGAGAAACTTCTGGAGGCCAAGGATGAAGATGGGAATCACCCCGGCCCACGATACGGGGTATTCTCTGGCGAATTTGACCTTGGAAGTGATGGGAAGCGGTAAGCTTTCTTCCCTCCTCCCCCTTTCCTTGACAAACTACGCTGTTTGCCCATATATCTCGCGAAGCTGCCTGCGACAATGATTCTTAACAAAAGCTAACCCCGGTTACTTATTCGCCGGACAACAGCAACAAGATAGCACTTATTTCCTGGGTTCCTGAGGGATGTCACGTTTTCGTAAGTGCCATGTCCCTCATGAATTGATACGTGAATTCGTCCACGTCTGCATCTGCTAACGCCCAAATTACAGTATTCCATGCTCTACGGCTCGGCGCTGTCAGACTTCAAGAAACTCGTGAACCCGCAGGTCACCATCCAGACAGATGACAAGGCGGCCCTGGAATGGAAGGAGTTCGAAGTAGCTTGTATTGGAAAGCAACGCGGCTGAGACTGATAGTATTCTACTCCACTTAATTCCATCTTGCGTTTTGCTTTGCGTTGCTCTATTTACTTCTTAGCTAGTTTTGTTCTAGTTACTCTTCCGAACTCGTTTTTGTTTTACAACTGTGAACGCATGATGTTGACTTGCGTCTCTTGACCCTGTGCCTCCGAGCTCCCTGATTGATGTTACGTATTTGGTGGATTTGTTGGGAAAAGGTGGGTGACCTCCTCCAGCATTGATACACGTGGGATACAAACAGTTGTAATGTGATATGACATACTGTATAGTTCGAGCTTGGGGATACTAACTCTTGAGCCACGAAGTACTCTGCTCTGCCTCCGTTGCCTATGCCTTACTTCACACGATTATTGTCATGCACATGGGGATATGTGGGTTTGATATCGAACGGGACTGATCTGTTTCTCCTTCCACCTGCTTCCCTCTACACCCTCCTCCACCCCAAAACCACGGTGCTGTTTGTTAACGAATTGTGATGACCCCCTCCCTCTTGTCTTTTTTATCTTTTTTTTTTTATCTTTTTTTCTTTCTTTTGCTATTCCTGTGGTAGCGAGATGCTGTTGAAAGACCAATTTTGTTTTCAAAGCTTGGTCAAGTATATCGTCGTCTATTTCTAGATCCCGAATTAAAAAAAAAAAAATAATAAAAAAAAAATAATAATAATAATGAAAACAAAAAAGAATAGAAAAGATCAAAGATACGAGAGTAACCATGGGTTGTCTTTCATCATAGAAACATCCTTCCAATCAAAACTATGTTGCTTATTTTCCTGAGCATTCACTTTGTGATTGTGAAGATATCGTACGATTCGCTTGTCCTTCTCTGCTTACTTCCGGAGATGGCGCGCAGCCAATCAAGAGGTGCTGACTCATCCATCGGCAACAGCAAGGCGTGCCTTTCCCCTTTCGGCCAAGGACAGCTTACATAATCCTCCCGTTGTCCTCCACAAATTTCCCAAGCGTCAACAATCTCCAACAGCAATCAGATCTTAATTATTTCCAACCACCCTGTTCTGAGTGCCATCTAGCTCTATATCGCAGCCATTGGCCCCTCCACACCCCTCTCTCTCTGCATTATTTAATTTTCGGTCTCTTTCCCGTCCTCTCCCAGCAATGTCCTTTCGCGCAATACCAAGAGGCCTCGCCGCGTCAACCCGAACCTGCACCCGACCCATCATAGCCTATTCCTCCTCCTCCTCCTCCTCCTCCTCCTCCTCCTCGATCAGATGCCTTAATGCTGGCCGCACCCAGAGTGCCAATGGCCTCTCATCCAGGAGCCAACAGAGCCGCTCAATGGCTACGGCTGAACATGCCATTGCCAATCCGACACTAGCCGGCATCGAGAAGCGGTGGGAGTCTATGCCGCCGCAGGAGCAGGCGGAGTTGTGGATGCAGTTGAGAGATCGGATGAAGGTCGATTGGCACGAGATGACGATGCAAGAAAAGAAGGCGGGTATGTGATTCTTTTTATTCTTTTTTTTTATTCTTTTTTTTTATTTTTATTTTTTATTTTTTTGCCCTTGCTTTCCCTGGAATACTTGGTGGTGCGTTGTCCTCGTGAGATATAAGATTCGTCCTTAATATTTGCGGACCTTCGAGGAGGTGTTGGACACTACTACAACGCAGACATCCAGGGATAAAAGCTATTGATTATAAGTCCATAGCTTTGATTGAGGACCCCGGTATCTAAGAGCATTATCTATTTACCCCACGTTCACCCCACGATCCAGACTTTTCATACCTGGAGAAGGTGGGAAAATTGAATAATGAAATAAAATATGGCCTAATGGATGAATACTCCTACACAAAAGAAGAGTAAAAACAATAACGACTAACCATCGATTTTCCCAGCTTACTACATCGCCTTCGGTCCCCATGGCCCCCGTGCCGAAACCCCTAAGGGCGAGGGCGTGAAAGTCTTCGTGCAAGTAATGAAATACGTCGCCATCTCATTCGTCGTGTTCTATACTATCCGCATGTTCGCGAACCCACCACCCAAGACATTGACCAAGGAATGGCAGGAGGCCACCATCGAATACGCCAAGGTGCGTCATACTAAACCCCCCCCCCCACCACCACCACCCAATAAAAATAAAAAGAGAAAATAAAAAGAGAAAATATAAAGCACCCCCCAATCCCGTTTAAGTGTTATCAGTGAACTAATACCATCCGACACGACGTACAGAGAGAAAAACTGGACCCCATCACTGGTTACAGCAGCGAAAAATATGCTGCGAAAGAACACATCCAGAACGCCCCAGCAAAGAAGTAAAACTCACTTTCATCATTTCCAGCTTCTCTTCTTTGTTAGATTGTTTTTTTTTTCTACCCGTGCATGGACAAAGAGGTCTGCATATCAGACACGATAGGAAGGTTCATTTGAATTTTTAAAATAAAAACACGAAAGACTTAAAATAAAGTGATAAATAGGGCGGGGGAGGAGAAGTGTGAGGGCCAACACAGCATGGAAAGAAAGCCGGAGTACGGAGCTGGGGAAGATATCTGCTCTTATTACTTGCTTGCTTCCTATCTGCTACCTGGGTACCGGAAGTGTATGGGCTACAATTATCTGCACCAGCCGGCTGCGCTTCAGATCCCCGCCGGACACCTCTAACTGAAATCATTTATGTAACTATACAGTTGAGCAGGCACATATACACCATCTCATTTTCTCCTAGGCTAGTCATGTGTATAATTTATTCTTCATTTTTTTTTTTTTTCTTTTTTCATTTTTTTTTTTCTTCCTATCTCGTTTCTCCATGTCTTTTTTCTTGCTCTCTTTTTGTGCTGATTCCAATTTTCATATTCTGTTATCCTTGAGCCTGCTCTTAAGTTGTGTTTTCGATCCTCTTTACGTCCCCATAGTCTGAATTCAGTGTCAGCAACAACATCATTGTTGTCCTGCTGGTCTTGTGCACTTCTTGACAGAGGGAAATGAAGGAGAAATGAATGAGGGTGAGGATGTGAGAGAGAAAGGATCTGGAACAGGTGAATTTGCATATGTGTGTTGTCTTCTCTTATCTGTCAAGAAGTTGCCAGAATTAGTGTGATTTCAAGTAGGTGTAAGATATGAAGAAGGATTAGAGATACCAGGTTAGATTCTCTATGTATTTTTAATCTGTTGACGTTTTATACTTGCTCTGAACTTTTATTTTCTCTATTTTATTTGTAGAGAAACTATTAAAGTAGAGATTTTTAAAAGTAAGCAGCTCTTTCTAGGTCTTAAATTAAAAAAAAAAAAAAAAAAAAAACAGACTTGTAAATATATATAAAACTTGACATTTTTATGAATTTTAGGAGGTGTATTTGTAGTAGAGTAGAGAATAAATAACATATTGCCGAGTTTCATGTGCAAGACAAGTTATAAAACTCTCAGGTCATATTGAGGATTAAACATAAGATCTGTGCTTAATTTCAATGTTTACTATATAACATGAAAATACTTCTTGTGTTGTTGAGATAGGGCAAAGGTAACTAGAGAGACAGACGCTATGTGGGATGACTTTGTACCTTTGAAGAAAATTCGAATGTTTTCCAGTGTGTAGCAGCAATAGATTCGATTATCTCCCACTGCCTGCCCACCCTCTACACTGCAGATGTGTTTTCTCATTGGTAGCACGGAGTTAAGCAGACTGAAAGCCATTCTGTTTCCTACAAATGAGTGCGACTCCTGCCCGCGGTTTTTCCACCAGCCATGCCAGCCATTAGATAACTATAGTTAAGCAGAACCCTGGTACTGGACTGTAAGGTTTGAGATAGAGATTAACTAACTATTAGTTAATGCTAATGTGAGTTAGATGGATGTCCAGCAACTCTCCAAAGATCAAATCAAGTGCCTGCTCGGAAGCTTATTTCATGGTCTCTTGCTCTATGCTGCAGCCGACGAGAAATTGAGAAAACGGAGAAAGTGATCAGTGTGTGCTTCCAGAGTGTCCAACGAACAAATAGCGCGCTTTTTATACTGTTCATCTACTCAGTAACTACTGTTTAGTGAACTGTTTGTATTATGCACTGTAGCTCTGAAGACATACATGACTGTGCAAATCGCTTTGCCTTGTCAGAACCTCTGTCTAACTAAGTATTCCAACACGCTCAGGCTAGCTAGCACAGAAGACATTGAAATTTGCTATTATTCCGATATCAGTAATGCAAGATTACGACAGGTTCATTTATTTCATTGAGCAATGAAGTCTCTCCTTGCAGAGGCATGGAGCAAACTTCCTGGCACCCGCAGAAATTCTGGAGCCATGGCGTGGAGAGTTATTCGACTCTAGCATTCATAATGCAAGATAAATTCCTCGCGATGGGCGAGGATCTTTTTCCACCTCTCCATACAGAGTAGTTGACTGCGTTACGGAGAAGTTAGTTACTCTCTCCAACTGCTGAGCTCTGGTTCAGCATGGATGAACCGACATCCCACGGGTCGTGCCTTGCCACCTCAAAAGAGAAGGGAAAATTCTATCCTGCTCTAATATTCATCAGCGTGCAACACCAATACATTAGCTAAGGACATACTGTTCTCTCCCCTCCATATCTCAGAGTCTTCGGAGAGTGTATTCGCAGTATCCTCTGGAGCCGCAACTGATTCCCACCTTCTGAGGTATTCGGATGAAACTGGTTTGTTGAACGCTCCCCCCCCACCCCCCCATGTTCCTATACCCACACGTCGTCGCCTATTGACACCCAATGGATAGGCGGCTGGAGAGGACTTGCGCCAATCCCCTGATATAGGTCTCGAGAAGCTTGAACACGGCTCAAAGGCAATGACAAAGCTGGATTCCTGCACTTCGTTGAGGCAGATGCTCTGCTGGGTCCCTGAGGAGCGACCAACGGCAGAGGAGGCTGTATATGACCCCTGGCTGATGGAGGGCTTATTTGACGGGTAATGAAACGTCGATCCTCGCCTCCAATGACACGTGTTAATGTATGTATTGGCTGGAAAGCCAGACAGAGCATATGCAGCGGGCGTTGCATAATGGAAAAAACAGCTCTCACGCGACGGGATACGTGGCACCCGCCCTCATTGGACAGGCCTCAACACAGAGTCATATATATCAACCCGCTTCCCCCTCCCTTATGGCTTAACATACATGAATCGGGGCATTTGCTCACTTCTCCATTCCCGTAGTGGAGGTCTATGATGCAGCTCACTTTTCTCGCTCCTTCAACATGGCCCGTTGCGACCCTAAGACCACACGAGAGCATCTGCAGCCTTCGCCGCGCTGGGGCTTCAACGCAATAGGCGCCGTGTTGTTGGCACACAGGTCCTCTACAGCGCCAGAACGAAGGAAACGAAAGCGACAAACGGACACTTGCTGACCTAGATGCTCGATGACCCAGATACTACAGGACAACAGCGCATTCCGCCCCTCCTGGAGGACCACGAAGCCAGTCGATCCGCCGCGCAGATTCGCTTTCAGAAGTGATGAGAAGACCTGGCGATATTCTTCTCGCCGACAAGATGTCCAAACAACGGAATAACAAAGTCATGTCCGTCCACTTTTACATCGACTTCAGCTGGGAATCAGCTGGGAATCAGGGGGTGGGCGCTTGTCATAGCTGATACATCCAGCCATGGCACGGGATTGTGGGTGAAAAGCTGACGCTCGTTTCCCGGGGATGTCGTCCAGGAAGTGCTAGCGCTCTTCGCCCCAACGATGCCAGGCCGAGGAAGCGGGACCAGCAAGCTTTCAACGAGAACAGGGTGAAATGGTATGCAGCGGGGGCCAGAGAGTGATCCCACGAAATTGGTGGGCATTCGACTGAACAGCCAAATGTCGCAACATACCGGCCAAACTTTGCGCCGACATAATCCAAATGCGCTATGGAACCTGGCAAAATCTGTCTACCTGAAACGCCCGGCAGTTGAAGGTGTGGTACAGTTCATGAGGCAATTGATGCAGCTGGACTCTTCTACGCGGTGAAGTCATTGGAGAGAGCCTTTGAAAGGTCCGTCCAGCTGCTAATGAGAAAGTCGAAAAACAAATTTTTCTCAGCGAGATTGAGATAATCCCTAATGCGAAACTTGTATGCCCGTCATTGAACTATATGTAATTCTATGGGTCCTTATAACAACCTTTCTAGGATGGTATTATCTGTGCGGTCGAGAAAAGGTTGTCCCGGGGGTTGTTTGGGGAGTGGTTCAAGACTTTTGTCCTGTGATGGAATGGATATATGGGCCTGGGAACACTTGAACAGCTTCTTCAAGACCTGGCTCCTCAAGATGTTATGAGCCTTCCAGATTCCTGAAGCAAACAAATATCCTCGTAAAAACCCCACCGATCCTTTCATTCCCCTGCTTTCTGATTTCGGGGCTTACCCAGCCGAAGATCCTAAAGCTTTTGCGGCGCCCACACGTACGCTTCCCG